TTTGTGTGCGTGTGTGCGTGTGTGTGTGTGTCTGTGCCTTTTTCGCTCGCCAATAGCAACTTCATCTGCCGATCGCGCTTGAAAGCCCTCTGCGCCGCTGACTCAAAAGTGTCTGCGTGTCTGTGTCTGTGTCTGTGTGTCGGTGTGTCGTGCGTGCCTGCGTCTGGGTGTCTTTGTGGATGTCTGTCTGTCTGTCTGTGTGTCTGTGTGTCTGTCTGTCCGTGCGTCTAATTCTGCGTTTCTGTGTCTCGGTGTCTGTGTGTCTGTGTGTCTATTTGTGTGTGCGTCTGTGCGTCTGTTCGTCTGTGTCTGTATGTGCGTGTGCGCAAATGTGTGCAAGTGTACGTGTGCGTGTGCGCTTGTGCGCTTGTGCGTCTGTGCGTGTGCATTTGCGTGTGTTCGTGTGTACGTGTGTGCGTGTGTGTACGTGCGTGTGTGTGTGTGTGCGTGTGCGTTTGCGGGTGTGCGGGTGTGTGGGTATGCGTGCACGTGTGTGTGTGTGTGTGTGCCGTCAGTTCTCAGTGGTCATGTAGTTCGCGGGCTCCGCGATAGCAGAGGGAGGACAAATCTGCCCCTCCTCCTTCTCATTCTCCTTCCCCTCGTCCCCCGTCACTTCCCCTTCCCCTCCAACGAACCCACCTCCTGTTTTTCAGCACAGCCCGAAGCACCTTCTGCACCGCTGACGGCAAGAAGCGCTCGAACCCCTCGATCTCCCGGAAGAGCACCTCGAGCTGCCGCTGCTGCACGTCCGCCACGCGGTGCTGGACGCGCGTGGCGACGAAACTCGAGGATCGAGGAGGATCGAAAATCGAGAAGGATCGGCGATCCAGAAGAATCCCGGGTCAACGATCGAGGAGGGCCGAAGATCGAGGAGGACCGAAGATCGAGAACGGAGGAGGATCGACAGTCACGCGACACCCAAAACCACCGCCCGCTACGGAGGGGGGGGCGAGGCAGACATGCCGGAGGGGAGGCGGCGAGTGGGGGGGGGGGACCTGCGGGAACCCTGAGGTCGGGGCGCCGCAGCGTTTTCACACCGGGTGTGCTCGCCCGGCCTCGGACCCCCAGGACTGTCACACACGGATCCAGATCGAAGAGATGCCGCGGAAAAATGGGGCCATGGGGCGCTGGGCGTGCTTGGATGCGATGCTGCATGATGTTGGCACAGTCGGGGCTCAGAGCACGGCCCACGCCCCAGCGCTCGCCCCCTCCAAAAAACACCACGATCGAGCATGATCCTCCTCATCCTCATCCTCCTCGTCCTCTTCCTCCACAATATCACCATCATCATCATCGTCATCGTCATCGTCACCATCACTATCATCACCATCGTCACCAGCATAGCAAACACCGTCACCGTCACCATGAACGTCACCACCACCTCCATCAGCACGATCATCATCAGCATCATCATCATCAGCATCAGCACCATATTCTTCATCATCGTCATCGTCATCATCATCAGCACCATCATCGTCATCACCATCATCACCGTCACCATACCATCACAGTAACAGGAACTATTTCCAGCACCATCACCATCAGTATCACCATCACCGCCACCACCACCACTACCACTATCATTATCATCATCATCATCGTCATCATCAGCATCTTAATCATCACTTGAATCAGCATCGTCATCATCATCATTGCCATCACCACCATCATCATCATGATCAGCATGATCATCCTGATCATCGGCATCATCATCAATGCAACTCCCACCATCACCCTCACCCGCAGCATTTCCCTCACGACCTCCCTAAACCAGAATCATCGTCGCCATCATCAACGTAATCGTCACCATCATCATCACCATCAACACCATCATCACATCAGCACCACCACATCATCACATCATGAGCACCGTCACGTTATCATCATCAGCAACATCAACATGATCACATCATCATCTGTATCACCACCGCCACCTCATCATCATCCTTATCCGCAGCATCATCACATTAGCACATTATCATCACATCATCATCATCATCATAGCATCACCATCATCATCACCATCAGCATCGTCATCATCAGCATCATCAGCATCCTCCCATCATCACATCACCATCGCCACCACATCATCACATCATCATCATTGCCCTCATCACATCATCAGCCCATCATCACATCACATGACATCAACATCATCATCCTCATAATCAGCATTAGAGCGAACCCGTCATCGTCACCATTGCTAGCACCACATCACCAACATCACCACATCATCATGATCATCAGCATCATCATCATCATCGTCATCATCATCATCATCATCATCATCATCATCATCCTCGCCATCGCAACATGACATCATCTTGATCATCAGCATCGCATCATCGCATCATGGTCAGCAACATCATCATTACCATAATCGTTTCATCACCATCATCATCACAGCATCTCATCATCATTGCCAACACACCAACAAAGCATCATCATCACCACATCATCATCATCATCATCATCACATCGTCACATCATCATCATCATCATCATCATCATCATCATCATCATCATCATCATCATCATCATCATCATCATCGTCAACACCATCATCACCTCTCCTAAGACCAGTAGCTTCATCATCACATCGGCACATCCTCACACAATCATCACATCCGCACATCATCATCACACCATAGAATCACCAATATCGCATCATCACATCATCGCAGCATCATCACATTCACATCGTCACATCATCAACATGATCATCAACCCATGACCACATCGTCATCATCATCATCCTCATCACCAGATCAGATACCATGATCACATCATCTCAATCACACAATATAGTAATCAACATCATCACATCACCTCTCCTCAAACGCCATCATCAATACCATCCTCGTCCTCAGCCTGATCCCCATCATCCTCATCCTCGCCATCATCACATCATGATCATCACATCTAATCGCATCATCATCATCAACACCATTATCACCACATCGCGTCATCGCATCAACATCAGAAATATCACCATCACTTGCATCGCATCCGAACCGTAATATCATCACATCAGCGCCACCTTCATCAGCATCTACATCAAAACCATCACATCAGCGCCACTTTCATCATCATCATCATCATCAATGTCGTCATCACAAGCTCATGCTCGTCATCACATCATCACATCAGCATCGCATCATCACAGCATCACACCGTTTTCAAGATCCTTACATCACCAGCTCACACACATCATCGCATCACCATCACATCATCATCACATACCTATTATTATCACCTCATCATCACAGCATCACACCGTCATCAGCACATTGTCACATCAAAATCTGAATCGACATCATCATCATCATCCTCACCATCAACATCGCACCAGAAGGAAAGCCTCCTCCACCGCCACCCGCTCTCCCCTTCCTTCTCCCTGCGCCCCCCCCCCCTCCCTCCTGCCTCCGTGCCCCCTCTCCTCCCCGAAAACTCCTGGCTGGGCCCATCGAGGTCCCGGAGGAAGTCGGCGTTCCGCTTCTTGATGAGCTCCTGAACGTCCGCTTGGTGGGCGGCGCCTCCCCCCCTCCCTCCTCGTGCCCACCCTCCTCGGGGGGGAGGGTCAAGAGGGTTAGGAAGGAATCAGACGTGGTGACTATGTGGGGTGAACAGCTGCGTGGGAGGCTGCGAGGGGCATCGAATGGTGATCGTCGCCAAACGCTGGGCGGGATGCCTCGGACGGGCTGGCGCGAGGAGGTGCCGGAGGAGATGGAGGAGCAAGAGTGAAGGGGCCCTGGGGCACACAAATGAGTACACACACAACTAATTGACAGGATTCCCCACATCTCCCCATAGTTTCTGGGCTTTTGTCTTCCCCCCCACCTCCCATATTTTCCCATACTTTCCTGGGGGTCGACGATTAGCTGTGTCTGTGTGTTCTGTTCCCTCCTGAAGCAAAGAGGAGCAGCAGCACGAGGAGGGAGGAGAGAGGGCGCAGGCTCGCAGCGGCGTGGTGTGCAGCATCGGCCGAGCGTGCACGGCGGGGTGGCCCGGCCAAGAGTGCACATACGAGGTGCAGCACGGCATTCAAGGGGCCCAAGGACACACAAATAAATACACACAAATAAAAGGATTCCCCATATTTCACATATTTTCTGGGTTTTTGTCTTCCCCCCACTTCCCATATTTTCCCATATTTTCCTGGGGATCGACGATTAATTGTGTCTGTGTGTTTCTTTCCCTCGTGAGGCATGGTCCCTGCAGGGCTGAACCCAAACGGTGTTTTTCGTGTTCGTTCTGTTTTCGTTTCCCTTCGTGCTGTCGTCAATCCGCCTTTACCGCAAAACGAAGTCGAAACGAAAACAGCCCGCGAAATCGCCAGAACACCGTTTGGGTCCAGCCCTGGTTCCCAGTGTGAGACTGAAACGATGTGGCAAGAACAGGGTGCACCAGAAGGCGCATCAGTGAAGACGAGCATTGCATAACACAGGCAGATCGAAACATGTACGTATAGATACTATGTGACAGTTGGACGCTGTGAGTGGCCCGAACCTCGTGCGCCTGCTGTAAGAAAACGATCACACGTAATCATGATCCACGGGTCGCTATGAGTAAAGTGCAGGGGTGCGTTGATTGGTACAGCGAGCACCTTGGAAAGGAAGTCCATTCGGATACAATGCATAAGTGCACATACGAATAAGGGGTACTATGATCTACTGCTCGCCGATCGAGAGGCTGGGAAACACGGTCAAGCCACGAGGATTCCTCCTTCTCCTCAGCTTCCACATTTATCTACGTATATCTCAGATTCGTCCTGTTCCTCTTGGTGCTCCCGCACCACATGTCGTGCATCCTCCCCGATGTTCTGCACACATCGCTCCACACGCTGCATGCAACATGCACGCTGGACGCTAATTACTCCCTGCACTGGGCCACGCCGCACTGTGATAACATCCTGTCGCCGCTCGCTTTTTTCCTCTTGCCGCAGCCGGAGGGTTGCCACGTGCTGCCCCAGCGAGTGGACCACGTAGCTGCCCTGGCCGACGAACACGCCCGCCACGTCCGCCTGCTCCCCCGGCGGCGCCTGCACCACGACGTAGCCCGAGGGAGACATCACTCCGCCGGCCTGCCGGCCACCGCTCGGACGTCCATGCCCCGTGCTTTCTGTCGGTTTCGTGCGTGGCTCCTTCGCCTACCCATCGGTCGGAAGAAGCAGGTAGAAGCATGAAGTAGGAAGGCGTTGGAAATAGATCGGGTTTCCGCACGCCTCCTGAAAAGGAAGGAGAAGGGAAAACCACTCGACTCTTGAAGCAGGAAGGCGCTGAGAGCAGATTGCAATCTGGGAATCCAAGAATACCTGCTTTCAACGACCGATGGGTAATGATCCAGGATGCTCCTCGATGGCCCTCGCCAAAAAAAAAAAAAAAAAAAAAAAAAAAAAAAAAAAAAAAAAAAAAAAAAAAAAAAAAAAAAACGCACACGTCCGCGCGATGCCAGGCCTGCCGCTGGCCCCCCCGCGCGCAGGGGGGCAGCACACGCGCCCGCCCCGCGCCCCCCCCGCGCGCGGGGAGAGGCCTCTGCCGCCCGCGGCGCCCCCACGCGCTGGCCCCCTCGAGGGGCGGCGAGCGTCCTCGAGGGTCGGGCAGGTCCTCCGACAGGCGGGTTTTGGACGACACGTCGAACAAATAATCAACCAATGCTCAGCAAGAGTAAACAAAAAAAAAAAAAAAAAAACGTACCCAGAGAACCAAACAATGCTCAACGATAGTAGACCATTGTCAAACAAATCGTACCCCCGGACTAGTTCTTTCTTCGTTTTTGAAGATTCCGCCTGCTGAGGGACATGCCCGACTTGACCCTGAGAACAAAATGCCTCAAACAGTGCAGATCCACCCTTGCATCCTCTCCTGTTCTTTGGCCCCCATCCCTCAGGACCCCACCCTCGAACCGCCGGCGATAGTCGGGGGCGCGCAAACATGGATCAGCGATCCATGGGTTTGGCGCGCGGTCGCCAAATCCATGGATCGGAGGAGGTGCCCTCCCCGAAACGTAAAAAAATCCCGATTCCCCTTGGAAACGGGACCCGTCGCTGATCCACGCCCCCTTGATCCCATGTTTGCGATCGCCTGAGGGGGGGGGGGCTGGCTCAGGAGCGGGGGGGGCGAGCGAGCGAGCGAGCGTCCATCCGGCTCTACTGCGGGTAGAGCCGCGCCCAGTTGGGCGTGACGAGCAGAGCCGTAGCCATTTTGGGAAAAAAACAAACATGAATGATCTCATGTCGCGGTCACGAACTGGTCCTCCATACTCCGCAATTATGTGAGACTCCTTGCCATCTGTGTCCAAGTTGCCTCAGGAGCGGGGGAGGGGGGGGAAACGTCCACCCCTGGACTCGGCGACACATCGCCGACAGATCGGCGACGGGCCCTCCCCATCGCATATCCGCACGCTCCTGGGCGGGGCGGGCCACCCCGTCCGCACCGGCGCTGCATGGGGGCATTCGGGGTCGACGCGCTACCCCTGAGCTTGTCCCCCTCCCCTACTGTTAGATACGCCTCCCCCCTCTGGGGGAAAAGACACCAAAGTAGCTCAATGGGGGCCTCAAGCAGCCCCCAGACGGCCCAGGAAGGCCCCGAGAGAGGGCCCCCAGAAACGGAGCAGGAGGGCCCCAGAGCGCGGCATCCCCCACAACGCAGGCCGTTCGACATGGATTAAAAGGCGTTCATCCGCCGCGCCGGAAGCTCCCCGTTCCAGTCTCGGTGAGGCATCGTGCAATTCCCCGCTGGAGGTGGCACCCCCGTCGGCGATGGTGTCGCAATCTCCGCCGGCGGTAACTCGTGGGAGCCTCCCGCACCATCTTGCCGGCTGCTCCGAATCCACGCGGATCGACGCTGCGTAATCGACGCTAGTCGACGCTGCATCGGCGCTACCCCATCGATTACTTGACGCTAATCGATTCCACTGCACTCTAACGATGGAATTGCGAGATCACAGAAGGCTCCCACGATCTGCTACGGAACGCAGTCTCCTCCGAATCCCGCGGGAATGCCCGCGGTGCAGGCGTTGAACCGATGGTTTTTGCGGCGGCGACCGCGTCGCCAGAGCGTCCCGCTGCGAGGGTCCTTCGGCCGTTCGCGCATTGGCAAGGGGGCCCAGCTCCGCAAGGGGAAAAGCTCTGGCACACAAGCGCTGCCATTTCTGTCGGGCTCCAGCGGGGCTTGCTCGGCCGTGGTCGCGTCTGCGGGAGCGCCTCTGCGCGGTGCCAGCGTGAAAACCGACCGATTTCTTGCGGCGGCTCTTCGCGCCCGGGAAGCTCCACGGGGGGGTGGAGGGGGAGGGGTAGGAGGAGGAGGAGGAGGAGGAGGAGGAGGAGGAGGAGGAGGAGGAAGAGCAGGGTGAGGGGGGGGAGGAGGGGGTGAGAGGGGAGGAAGTAGGCGGAGGCGGAAAGGAGGAGGAGGAGGAAGGAGGAGGAGGAGGAGGGAGGAGGAGGGGAGGGGGGGGGGGGGATTGGGGGGGAGAGGAGCAGTGCGGAGGAGGAAGGAGGGCGGAGGCGGAGGAGGAGGAGACGAAGGAGGAAGTAGGGGGAAAGGAGAGGAGGAGGAGGCGGAGAGAGGAGGAGAGGAAGTAGGGGGGAGGGGGAGGGAGAGGAGGAGGGGCGGAAGAGGAGGGAGAGGCGGAAAGCGAGGAGGAGGAGGATGGGAGAGGCGAGGAGGAGGAGGAGGGGGATGGGGAAGGGGAAGGGGAGGAGCAGCGGAAGGAGGAGGAGGCGGAGCGCGGAGGAGGCGAGAAAACGGAGGAGGAGGAGGGGGAGGAGGCAGGAGGAGGAGGAGTAGAGGAGGAGTAGGAGGAAGGGAGGGGAAGGGGGAGGGGAGAGGAGGAGGCGGAGAAGGAGGAGAGGGCGGAGCCGGCGGAGAGGAGGAGGAGGGGGAGGGGGAGAGGAGGAGGAGGAGGAGGGGGAGGAGGGTGAGAGGGGGAGGGAGAGAGGAGGCGGAGAGGAGAGGCGGAAGGCGGATGAGGAGGAGGAGGAGGAGGAGGGAGGAGGAGGGACGGGGGGGCGGGGGAGGAAGGAGGGCGAGGGGCGCATGGGGGAGGGCGGCGCACCCGAGGCGTGCGCCCGGAGCCGCGGGCCCGCGCTCCCCCGCCCTTCCCCCGCCCGACTTAAGGCCTGCCGATCGCCACATCTCGGGGGCGCGGGCCCTGGGGCGGCCTTGGCGAGCCGCGGGGGGGCGCCAGGATGGCCCAAGACGAGGGGGGGCCAGGAGCACACACACACACACACACACAAAAAATACACACACATCCCAGGAGTCCCCATATGTTTCACATGTTGTTGGATGCTCGTCTTCCCGTCCACTTCCCATCTTCTCCATATCTTCTTGGGAGTCGCCGATCAAGTGTGTCTGTGTGATTCTTCCCCTCCTGACAAGAGGCACTCACAGAGGTCCAAAGACCAACCTCCACAGACCCGCAGCTCCAGGCAGCCCGAAACGTGCAATTCAACAACGCTTGGTGCCAAAGAGGGCCTCAGGAGTGCTCAGGTGGGCGCACTACCGACGTGCTATTCGGCAATGCTTGGTACAAGATGGCCGCAGGAGTGCTGAAGTAGGCCTAGAGTCCTCCAAGAACTTGCCAAAACATCTCTGGGGGGGGGTCCAGAGACGGCCACGAGGCGGCCCAAGAGGGCTGCTGGTGTAGCCCAGGCCGACCCCAGAGACGAGCAAGACAGCCCAAGACGTCCGCCGTAGTCGATTAGACGGCCCAAGAAGGCCCCCCAGAGGGCCCCGAGAGGCGCCGAAGACCCCCCGAGAGGACCCTCAGATAGCTCCAAGACAGGCCAAGGGGCAGATGCCCTGATTGACAACGGAAAACTCATCATGTAACTATCCCATTATTCTTCGTCCTCTTCCTCCTCCTCCACCAGCTCCTCCTACTCTTCCTCCCACTGCTCTCATCACCCGCCTCTTCCTCCGCCTCCTCCTCTTCCTCCTCCTCCTCCTCCACCGCCTCCTCCTCACTCCTCTCCTCACCCGCCTCCTCCTCTTCCTCCTCCTCCCTCTCCTCCTCCTCGCCACCCCCTGATCGGTGTCATTCTCCTCATTCCAATCAGGCGGCGAACTCTCAAGACGACGGAAGCGTCGGCGGGCGTGGCGTCAGCCCAACGCATCCAGGGGCCTGCACGGCCTCGGCGACGGCCCCGTACATTGAGGTGACCTGCGACGCACCAGATGCGAACCGCAGAGCATCCCCGGCGTAAGACGCCAGACGTGTAGACCGATCTGGGTGATGGTCGAAGAACAAAAGGCTGTATGAGCACAACCTTCCGGAGGGCCGCGCGGAATTCTTGGATGGGCGCTGGGACCCCCTGGCGGCCCCTCCGGCGCCTCCGGCGCGGTCCGCACGCCGGGGAAGGAGGTCCTACGCCGATTCAAGAAATCCGTGCGGACCTCCGAAAGAATACGGCAAGTTCGTGTCGTGCCGACTTCGGCGTGGGGCACTGACATCGCGAGAATCGTTCAACCTTGAACGATCGACCGTTTCAGAAACGCGGGATCCTTCAACGATGGGCCGACTCTGGGCCACGGGTGGCGTTCAACCTTGCACGCCCGCGCTGGACTCGCCGCCGGTCGACACGATTCGAACCTACTGCATGCAGTGTTTGTTGTTCGATGATAGGGCGGGGTAGCAACAACCAGGTCGAAGGGCCCGTGCGATGCGCGCGCGTCGTCTGCAAGCAGCTCGGGCAGTTGCCGCAGGTCGCCGGCCCAGAAGGACGCACGCGCCTCGAGGCCCTGCGCCCTGGCGTTCTCCAGGGCCAGGGCCGGAGCGGCCTCGTTGATGTCCATCCCCACGCCGCGGGCCTCCGGAAGCCGGCGCAGGACGGACAGCAGGACGTTGCCGCAGCCGACCGTGAGGTCGATGACCCGCGGGCGGCGCGGCAGCGTCAGGCTGAGCGCCGCCTCGGCCACGGCCCGGGTCGCGCCCCGGGGCACGAAGACGTCAGTGCTCACCTTCAGATCCGCCACCGTGCCGGGCTGCGCGGGTTGGAGTGCCCTCAGGTCCCCTCTGTAATCCTCACCGTTCCCGAGTCTTCAAGATAGACGAGCTCAGGTGGGCGGACCCCAGACTCCTCCATGTCCAGGTGCTGGGCCCCGGCGCGTCTTCTCGCGCCGCTCTTTCAAGCCCAACTGGGCCCCGCAACGCGCCAAGAGGGCCTTGGTGCAATCCCCCCAGACGGCCCAAGAGGGCCTCGAGTCGCCACACGATCGCTCCCGGGCACGGCGGCGGCATGGGCCGAAGGCCACTGGATGCATACCGTCGACCAGTTTGACCCCGTTCCCGCTCCCCGGGGGTTGCTGAAGGCGCCCCTGGCTCGAGGTGCCCCCCAGCTCCCCTCTCCATCTTGGAGCCCACGGGGCCCCCTGGACCTCACGAGGGGTGCCCTGGAGACCGCGGGGGAGGAGGAGGAGGAGGAGGAGGAGGAGGAGGAGGAGGAGGAGGAGGAGGAGGAGGAGGAGGAGCCTCCTTGTAAATCGAGGTGTTTCTCTTGACTCGCGAAATTTCGGCGCCACGCCCACGCCGCGGTCTCACGGACCAGCAGCGCCCACTCCGGCACCCTGGGCAGCTGCGCGATCCGCAGCGCCGCCGGGCGTGCCAAAGCCTGGGGGGCACCTTGGGCCAGGGTTAGGTCGGGCGTGTTCTCCCACAGGCGGATGTTCGACGAACAGTAAGGAATAGCCAAAAGAGGTTCAAGAACGGCCAAAGAATCGCAGAGAGAGCCAGCTTCCACAGACCATTTGCTGACATGCCCGACTTCAGGCGAGGGGCACTCCTAGCAACCCCCGACGCTCGTGTCGAAGAGGTCGCCGCCCTCCGGCGCGTGGCAGGGGGCCCGCCTGCGCCGCAGGCGCAGCGCGTCGAGCCGCAGCATCCGCTGCAGCCGCTCGGGCGGCTCCACCGCGGCGCAGAGGCCCAGCACGGCCACCTCCACGGCGACCACCTGCGCGACCGGCATCGAAGGACGCACAATAGCACAAACACGCAGTCGGGGTGCTGCAGGAGCAAGGAGAGCCAGACAGGGAACGGAGCCCCTCTTGGGCACCAACAAGAAGAGCATGGGTTCACGAGGGAGCCTAGAGAAGCAGCCACGAAACCACCCGAGAGGAACAGCGAGCCTCTTCCGAACCCGAAGCGGCCCTTCTTTCAGCGTCTTGACTGCTCAGTGAGGCCGCACAACAAGGATGCGCGGTAAGGATACAACGGCCAAGGAGGGCCATGTTGGCGTTTTCGAACGGGGCTGGCCAGCGAGAGTTGCCAGGGATGGGCCGAAGGCACAAAGATGCAAGGGTAGCCTTGGAAAGTTGCTCATCCTTATCACTGCACCGACCTTGCAGACGTGCTGCCGCGGATTTTGTTCGTGGATTTCAACCAGTGCAGAGCCCCGAAACGGCGAGTGAAAAACGAAGTGAATGTCGCGTGGATTTTTGCTTCAGTCTCCATCCCTGGCCCCCCCGAAAAACGCACGAAATTCGCCTCGAAATCCGGAGCGAGATTCTCCGGGACACTCCGGAAAACGACAGATCGTTTTCCGCCCGGAATCCGCTCTGCGATGCTGGCGCCATGATCCTTACTATTGGCGGCGAGCAGAAGGGGGCACGGGGAGGGGGGAAGGCTTCTCAGAAGGAGGCTGCTTCTTAGAAGGCGCCCGCCTGACATCTACAGAGAAGGCCCGCATCTTCGAAGAAGCAGGGGTGCCTCTGAGAAGCCTTCCCCCCTCCCCCTACCCCCCCCTGCGCGCCGCCACAAAACTTACTCTGCGACTTGGCAGTCACCCAGCGGCAGCCCGAGCCTTATGTCGGGCGTGTCCCCATACAGTGGGATTTTCGACGAAAAATAAGAAATACCCAAAAAGTACCCTAAAAAGTCCAACGTTTTCCAAAAATAGTCCCCAGACTATGTTTGGAGAGTATTTTTTTGACTAGTTTTTGGGGTATCTTCTATTTTTCGTCGAAAATCCCCCTGTAGGGGGGCAGGCCCGACCTAACCCGAGCGGAAGCGTCGGCTCTGCGCTGGGCACCCCCCATGGCAAAACCTCCGGCGCCCCCCCTCCCTGGCGCGCTCCGCGCGCCCGGGAGGGGGGGGCCCGGCGCCGACCAACAAATCAGCGCGCACCTCCACGGCGACCCCGAAAGGAGCGTCGTCGTCGGCGTCGGCGTCGTCGTCAGCCACCTGCGCGACGAGGAGAAAAACGGGCCTCACGCAGGCGAGGCTTCGGGCTGCGCGCAGGCAGCCTCCCCGGGTGGCCCCCGCTGGCCTCGGCAGGCCATCCCGAGAGGTCGGCCTTAACAGGCCCCCTGAGTGGTCCAGGGCGGTCTTCAGGATGTTGAGGCCACCCCAGATTGTTCGGCGTGCCTGTTGAGGCTAGCTGGGGCTAGGGCGCTCAACCGCGCGCGGCCTTACGCAGGCAGCTCCAGGGAGCGACATCCGAGCCCTACCCCCACCAACCATCGATTATCCTGACTCGATGGGAGGCGGGGTTAGGGCTCCGATTCCGCCACGTGTTCGACAAATTCCGAACCCTACCCCGCCGCCCATCAATTTGCATGAATCGTTGATCAGCGAGGGTAGGGACCGGACTTCGCCGCCGAAGTTTACGCACGCAATGTCTGCTCAACCGAGTCCGAATTTTCTATGTCGTTCCCCTGCGCGCTGCCCCGCGCCCACCTTCGTCGTCGTCGTCGTCGTCGTCGTCGTAATCGTCGCCGCCGCCGCCGCCGCCGCCGCCGCCGCCGTCGCCGCCGCCGCCGCCGTCGTCGCCGCCGTCGTCGCCGCCGCCGCCGCCGCCGCCGCCGCCGCCGTCGTCGTCGTCGTCGTCGTCGTCGTCGTCGTCGCGATCGTCGTCTGAGTTCTCTTCCACGTCCGTCGTCGTCGTCGTCGTCGTCGTCGTCGTCGTCGTCGTCGTCGTCGTCGTCGTCGTCGTCGTCGTCGTCGTCGTCGTCGTCGTCCGACGCGCGTGCTGCGTCACCCGCCTGCGCGTTGCCCCGCGCCCCGCTGCTGGCGCCGCCCGCCCCGCGCACGGGGTGCCCGGCCGCGGCCAGCCGGGCGCGGAGCGCCGCCTCGTCGGGCGGCGGCCGGCCGCGCGTGGTGGCGATGAGCAGGCTCAGCACCCCGTGGCGCAGGCCCGAAGACTGGAGGCTTGGAAACGGGCATCAGCACCAAGACATGCTTTTTTTCATGTTCAAAATGCGACTCGCGCACCCGCCACCCGTCTGCGCCGTCGACGGTGATGCGTAAAGCGCAGCGAGCACCCGATGCCGGAAAATCACCGCACACCAGCCCTTGGGGTGGTCAGCGGTTTGGTAAAATAGCGACGTCTTCTCCTCCGTGGAGTGTGCACCCCTCCCCGGGAATGTATGATGAGGACGGGGGGTGAAGACGCAGGCGCCGTGGGCGCCGAAGACGGCACTTGTGGGGCGGCGGACTGCCGGCACTCTGAAGGCCTGGCCAGTGAAAGCCGTGAAGGGCGGGCCGCACAGGCAAGGACGCAAGGGTACCCTCAGGACATCCGCGCGTCCTTGCTATGAGTGATGATTGCATGCTGTTCTCATCGTACCTAAGACCTCAGGGCCACGTCCCAGAAACAATTTCGAGCACCCAGAAGAAAAATCGAAACAGTGTCTCTGACACGCTGGCGAAGTGTCGAACGAGTATCGCCTCCCAGGGCACGACAGGTGAAAACTCTCAGGTTTCGGTGAGTATTTGGTGCTCCAAATCCTCTCAGGCGATGCAAGCTGAAGCAGGCTGGGACATCATAAACCCCCAGCAGGACAAGACCCTTGGTTTTGGTGTGGTGCTAGCCTTTCGGCCACCAAGGCAGACCGAACCACCACCGAGATCGGGATCACCTTCCCTCGGTGGAGGCACGCTGCTGGTGTTGGTGTTGGCGCCAACCTCTAGGCCTCCGAGACGAGGACCGCACCGTCCGGACGTCAAAACCGTCGCTCCGGAGCCTCTCCACGGTGTCCTCGCTGAGGCAGCCCTGCACCACGGCCGCGTAGGAAACGCGAGCCGGAGCGCCCATCTCTCGGCCACCGCCACCGTTCCAGGCCGCCTGCGCAGCTCGGAAGGCCTCCTCCGAGGATGCGAGGACGCAGAGACCTGCAGCGTTGCGCCCACGGATGTTCATAGCCCTCGGAAACACATCGAGACCTGCGAGGTCTGCCCACGCGTCTTTGGCCCAAGCAGCGAACTCGCTCGGCGCGTCCTCTGGGCGACCGCATGCGAACCCTACGCATGCAGGTCAGACTTCTGACAAAACTGGCCGAGAGGTCAGAATTCGCTCTGGGCAAAGGCAGTGGCTTCTTCAACACGTGGAAAGCCGCTGTTCGACAATCAATATGCTGTTTCACTCTGACTGTTCGCACTGTTGCCGATGTGCCGTCATGGCACGGCTTCTACGTACGACCAACAGCCAGGTGAACCCCAGCGGGGGCGCCCGATACCCCAGAGGCAATTGTAGCCCGTTTGCTTATCATTCGCGACAATGCCCGTGACCGACCCCGCCCCTTCCCCCAGGTTTGCGCCGGTGCCGTGCAGGAATGAGCCCCTCCTGGCCGCTCTCCCAGACATCGCTGGCGAGAATCGTTACGTCGCCCTCCTCCTCCTCCTCCTCCTCCTCCTCCTCCCCTTCCTCCTCCTCCTCCTCTCTCCCTCCTCCTTCCTCCTCCTTCCTCCTCTCCTCCTCCTCCTCCTCCTCCTCCTCCTCCTCCTCCCCCCCTCCTCCTCTCCTCCTCCTCCTCCTCCTCCTCCTCCTCCGCCTCCTCCTCCTCCTACTCCTCCTCCTTTTCTCCTCCTCCTCCAGTATAATACTCCTCCTCCTCCTCCTCCTCCTCTCCTCCTCCCTCCCCCTCCTCCTCCCTCCTCGTCCTCCCTCCCCCCCCCTTCTCCTCCTCCTCCCTTCCACTCGTCCTCCCCCTCCTCCTCCTCCTCCTCCTCCTCCTCCTGTGTCCTCCTCCTCCTCTCCTCTCCTCCTCCGCCTCCTCCTCCTCCTCTCCTCCTGGCCCCCATCCCCTGCCTTCCCCACCCTCCTGTCACGCCCGCCCTCGCAAGGGGTATTGACGACAATCTCTTGCACAAGAGAGAGCGGCGCCCCTGCACCGTGCCATGGCTGGACTCCCTTAAAAGGCAGAATTCCAACACAGCACGGTGCATAGCTGCTCGGCTCCGAGGGCCAGAAAACTGTGCACCGTGCCGGTGCACCACTCCTGGGTGGAGGGTCGACGATGTCTCGGGAGACGCCGACGCGGTACGGTGCAGATAAGTCGTCTTCGGATCTTGGACCCGCGGGGGATTGCCTTTTGTTGGTCCCCCCCGTAGTAACGTCCATTGTGGGGGGGGGGGGGGCCTGCAGGCTCCACAGAATGCTGGTGAGCACCACGGCATGCCTGTGAGCACCGCGCCATGCCCGTCTGATGGACTGTACACCTTCACCGAAGAAACAAAAACAGTCTCCAGGGTGGGCTTCGCAGGCGGTCGCAGATCCTTCCTTCCGGGCGCGTCGTCCATCCCGCACGGCTTCCTCGGAGGCGGCCAAGAGGGGAGCGTCCAAGCGGGGGGGCGCAAATCATGGCCGGCGGCATGTGCGCGGCCCAAGGGTGGGTGGTGGGGGCCAGGGACGTGATGAAGTAGGAACAGGCGCCATGAAATCGGAGGAAAGATCATGGCCCACGCCATGACATCCACCCCCCCTATAAAGTTCTTGTGGCGCCGGCGCGCGCACAGGTTTCTGACGCCGCGTCGATCGTTCCATCTCGAGGCGATCCCGGCCCCGATGGCTCCAGGTTGAGCTCCGTCGGGTCCGGTGGCGTCGCCGTGTCCCTCGGTGCTTCCGCGCCGCAGAACTCGACCTGGAACGCCTTCGCCGGCGTCGCCGGCGCGCCCATCGGGCCGGGCGAAAGGGGAGGATAGCAAAGGGGGGCTTGAGAATCAGCTCACGTGGCTGATTTCCCCGGCGCCTCCCGGCGCCGAGCGGCGCCCATGTATCCAGAAGTGGGCCCCTCGGTGGGACCGAAAGCAGCTGCGCGCAGCAGATTTGGTAACCCCCCCTTTCCCTATCCCCCCCCTTTCGTTCGGCCCGACTATCCACCCCTATCACACCCCTAATCCCTTTCCCTATCCCCCGTTTCGTAGACCCCCCCCTTTCGTACCCCCCCCTCTTCCTAACCCCGCCTCTTTTCGCAACCCCCGTTTCGCAGCCCCCCTATTTCCCCCATCACCCCCCGCTTCGTAACCCCCCCTTTCCCTACCACCCCCCGTTTCGTGACCCCCCCTTTCGTAGGATCCCCCCCCGTTCCCTTATCCCCCCCCTCTTGACCGCCCCCGGCTTCCACGCGATGGCCAGCCCGCTGCGCGGGCTGCTCGCCAGCAGGCGCGGCGCCTCCTCGGCCAGCGGCGCCGCCGCCGCGGGCGGCGGCCCCCGCGGGGGCGCGCAGGGCCGCGCGGAGGTGCGGCAGCGCCAGCGGCGCGAGGCGCCGAGGCGCCTCGTGGGATCGGCATAAAAACTAAAATGGCATAAACAAAAAAGCATAGATGGGGAACAGAAATGCATGAAACAAAAAAACATGGTAAAGACTAAAATGAAACTCGTGGGGCACCTAGGAGGACAAAACATGGCATAAACATAAGAGCTCGGAGGTCCGCGCGGACTTCTCGGATCGGCGCTGGGGCCCCCCGGCGGCGCCTCCGGGGCCGCCCCTGGGGTGCTCCGCGCGCGAGGGAGGGGGGTCCCCAGCGCCGATCCGAGAACTCCGCGCGGACCTCCGAGTTCTTATGTTCATGTCACTTTTTGTTCCCCTACTCATGGGCGAAGATCATACGGCAGGTTCGAGCGGCGGCGCGCAGGCGGCGCCGGCGAAGGCGTTCAGGATGGAATTCTGCGGCGCGGAAGCACCGAGGGACACGTCAACGCCACTGGACCCGACGGAGCTCAACCTGGAACGATGGGGGCCGCGATCGATTCAAGGTTGGACGATCGACGCGGTGTCAAAAACCTTTGCGCGCGCCGACGCCGCACGAGCCTACCGTACCCATCGGTACGAAGAAGTAGTTAAAAACATGAAGTAGAAAGGCGTTGAAAGCAGATCGGGTCTCCGCCCGCCCCCAGAAGAGGATGGAGGAGGGGAAGCCACTCGACCATTGAAGTAGGAAGGCGCTCAAAGTAGAGTGGAATATGGGACTCCAAACACACCTACTTTCAACGACCGATGGGTACCCGCACCCGCGGTCTCGCTGGCTTGGCCCCCGGGCCGCGACCCCGCGGATGCGTTGAGCTGGGGCTGTCCGTCCTGGCATCCCAAGCGGCCTATGCCAAGAAATGCTCTGAGATTGAGAGAATGTGTGTTCTAAGAGCCAGCACCGCATTCTTGACACAGGACGGGCTCAGCCATAAATGTTTTAAGACCATGTCGTGCAAACCACGAAAGTTTCTGGTCACATTCCTGGGGGGGGGCCTGTAGGCGAGCCAGGACGCTTCGCCACTGCTTGACTCCTCCGAGCGCCGCCCAGCGCGAGGGCGAGGGCGAGGATCGTTTTTTCGCGGTACCCTGGGCGGAGCGTACCCGTACGACGGCGTAATTATCCGCGGGAACGCGCCCTGGAGTCCAGACCGCGAGGCCAAGGGCTTCGATGTGGATACGCTCGCCGCTCGTGAGCGCCTGCCCGCCCAAGCACCGCCTGGGGAAACCAAAAGGCACTGATGCCGCTACTCCGCAGACCTCTCTCGGGATGCGTTCTGACCAGAATTTCGAGGCCAATCCAGCCGTGGCGATGAGGGCCTCCCGGGGAAACCGAAGAAGGCGAAAACAAAGCAACGGGGGGCGGCAACTGTACCTGTTCCTCCTCTTGAGCAGGGACCGACCGTCCCGGCATTCCTATAGGGCTACCACGACATGCTGCCAGAACAGAAGAATATTATGAGATCCAAGACGATATTCCTAACACAAAAGCCGATGTATTAAAACAAGACGGCGTCGGCCGCCGGACATGCTCTGAGAGCACGTCGTGCAAACCACACAAAGGCTACCATAACATTCTGTGGTGGGCCTACAGGAGGAGCTCGACCGCAAGAAACCTCCTACAAAAAAACATCAAAAAAACACCCTGAACGCCAAGGATGTCCATCGTTTTCTGGTATGGGAACGCCACGCGCTCCGTCATAAAACCATCGGAGCCCGAGACACTGTGGGCACCCTGGCGGGAACCGGGGAGCTCCTTGGCATTGGAAGAAGAACAAAAAACGCCCTGGGCACAAACGTTTGGCGCTCCGCGCAGATGCCTGGGATCTGCGCTGGACCACCCTCCCCGGCAGGCGGAGCGCGCCGGGGTGGGGCGCCGAGGGCGCCGCCGGGGGGGGCCAGGCGCCGATCCAAGAACTCCGCGCGGAGCGCCAGAAGTCTATGTTTATGGCGTTTGTCCTTCTTCGAGGCATGGGCTTCCACTGCCGAGGCAACCCAGGACGCGCAACCGCTGCTCCGAATAGGGAGCCACCGTCCTGGCACTCCTGTAGGCCTACCACGGCATGCTCGCAGAACCCGAGAGTGTTCCAAGAGCAAAGGCAATGTTCTGAGAGAGCACAAGCCAGATGTACTGAGACTAGACAGTCCCAGCAAGAACTGTTCTGAGAACACTTTGTAGAAACCACAATAGTCACCGAGGACCACTCTTGGGAGCCACCATGGCCCCCCAAGTAGCCGCCGAATTCCCAAGGCGTTGCGCGGCGGTCTCTTATTCTCGGAAAGCGTGCAGCGCGCTGGGCGCGCGTCGGCCCGCCTGCACTGCCCCGTGACCGAGCACCCACTGCGATGCAATGCTCTATGAGAGCCTACATTGAACAGGCCCTCAGCACAGCGCTTGGGGGGCCTCTAAGAGGCGAGCCAGGACGCCCCGCCCCTGCTCGACTCCTCCCCGCGACCGCCCAGCGCCAGGGCCAGGGCCGGAGGCCGCCGGCCGCCGGGCGCGCCGCGGAGCGCCGCCGAGAGCGCCGGCCGCGGCGCCCGCGCCAGCGCGCGGGCCGCCGGGCACGGCGCCATGGCGCCACGTGCGCGCCGGGGGCGGGCCGCGGCAGCCGCCGGCCGCGCGCCGGCTCGGGTCGGGCACCGGCCCACCTAACAGGCGGAGTCTGGAGGAGAACTCGAAGAGAGTCAGGAGATGCTCAAAGATTCCCCTCTCTCTCTCTCTCTCTCTCGATGTTTACAAGCCCAGCCCGGG